GATTACAGAACCGGCTTTCTGACAAGATGCGCATTAAATATCGCATGCGATTTATCGTGCAGCCCTAGTTTACATATAAATAGGCTTCCTGTGTATGGGTCAATGTCATGATGCTCTTTTTTTTTTTTTTTTTCTCCTTTTTTTCAATATCTTGATATCTTGCCATTAATAAACATTAATGATTTCTCACAAGCATTTTAATTTTTTTTATCAATCCAGGAAAATATTCCAGATAAATTTATAAAAATAGGCTATCATACAATATTGATATTTATCATGATATTCATTTACCATTAATGGGGAAAGAAATGCGTTCCACATGTTTGTTAGACCTTGAGAATGGAGGTAAGCATAACTTTGTTCACAATGAAATTCCACAGAGGAGCTACGTTTTAATTTAGGGCCCCATGAACCATGAAATGCATTTTATTTTCCCCTAAATTCTGTGATTCTGTGTTTTATGATTCAGTACAAATTTATCATAAAAAATGGTGTCTAGTGAAATTAATTAAAACTTTAACAATTTAATTAATCCTTTAAAATGCAATCAAATGAAAATCAATTGCAAAACATTTTTTATTTTATTTTTGATTTCATTTTATTTTTATTTTATCAGACATGATGCCGCACAACAGAACTGTATAGATTAATAATAATAAAAATTGTTTTGTATGATATTCCTTAAAAATAATATTATTATTATTATTACTTTGAGAATTGCATTGTAGTATACAGTAGTAATATATTCAGCTATAATTTCAAGTTAAACCGGACTTTTATTTTGACGGCTTGTCGTGAAGTTCTTTCCGTTTTAGTTTTAGTTTCAGCATGTATTTGACGGTACTTTTTCTCAAATGAAACTGCAAAAAGCTGGTGAAGTGACTCTCAGAGCAGCTCTGAAGATGAAGTGTATGTGTTCATGTCCTCATATGTTGAGACGCAGATGCTGAAAACACAGCGAGTCACGTGTGTTTGAGTTTGTGTATCAGATGAAACTACTCCACGCATTCACACAGACACACAGAACATGCAGACTTATTAGCGACATGCACTGACTGGTTGCTGTAACATTTATTTCTGTTGTGTGATAGGATGTTAGATTAATCCATATTGAGTAAAAATGTCCAGAGCTTATCATCATTATTAACATAACCTTTATCATAATCTCGATATGATATAATTTATCGCCCAAAGCTAATTTAGGCTATTTATAGAATGTGCTTGGCGGGTGACTCAGAGACTCCATGCGGGCTACCACGTTGGTGACCACTGATCTGGAACAACCAGCTAAAACCAATTTGACCAGCCTAGCCAGGCTAGGCCAAATTAGGCCAGCTTAGGCTGGTTTTAGCTGTTTTTTGTTTTTGTTTTTCAGCAGGGACCCCCAGCCCTGCTCATTTTATATGTCACCCTCATTTAACACACCTGATTCAACTCGTCAGCTCGTTAGTAGAGGCCGCAAGACCTGACTCGGGTGTGTCTGATAAGGGAGACATACAAAATGTGCAGGGCTGGGGGTCCTCCAGGACAGGTTTGAAAACCCCTGCTCTAGAATACTTAATATTTCACAATTTTGCTGTTTTTACTTTATTTTTGATCAAATAAATGCAGCTTTGGTGAGCAGAAGAGATTTATTTAAAAATCATTAATAACTGTAATGTTTCCAAACTTTTGGCAGGTACTTAAATAAGTCTATTAATACTTTTATTATATTAGGCTATATATTATTAATTATTACCATGATTATTGATTGATTATTTAAAGGACAGTAGTATGTATTATTACAATATAATATATATCTTTTAATGTGATAAAATAATAATTAAAAAAAAAAAAGTGCCGGGGGTGTGGTCAGATTATCCTGCTTTTTTTTTGTCTCTAACTGATCGCATGCCTGATCATTGATTCATCCACTCAACTAATTTGTTTCAAAACGCTGATTCATTCAAGGACTCATTCTCAGAAAAAGTGCGACGGTTGGTTGTGTTTTGGCTTGGTTTAGAGCTGTTTTACCGGATGTAGTGGCTGGCAATATTGTGTTCAACACCTAAGTAATATTATCCTCTTGTTTAATGAACTGTTCTATAAAAAAATAAGATACATTTGGGCTGCTGTTGTGAACTTTTTTGGAACAACAGCACTTTTGATTATATATACTGCTTAATTTTTTCACTAAAAAATGTTCTGCCTTAACCTAATTTTATTACTTGGTTTTATAAGGCTCAGATGTGATTGATTAATGTAAGATTTAGACTATTGTTTAATTAGTTTAACCTAAATTTCTCCATGGGTATAGGCCTACTTCTGTTACTGAGACGGGTTTTGCCCCCCACACTCCCTCTTTTCTTTGGAGTGCTGTGTCGCCTCATTAACGGGAATGTCAGATACAGTCACCCTTATCTACATTTATTGGTGACAGGATATGCAATTGACAGATGCTTTCGTCTTATGGAGCCAATCAACTCGTCCTTGCCTGGACTTCTCAAGGTTGAAGCTATATCCCATTCATTTGCTTGCTGAGTTTAAACTGTCATTGTTCACCATTCCTCAGTTCAAAGGCTCAGAGCACATCCTGACTCATTATACAGGCCCGCTGGAGGATGGTCTCACCTCTACTGCTCTTAAAGTAACAGATAAACCTTTCAATCAACCGTTCCCTTTCCTTTTTCCCGTATTTTTGTCCTCGTTTCGCCTTCACAGAGGTTTATGGTGAATTATTTTCTCTTAATCCAGTCTTTTTTCTTGTATATGGTCTTGAGGTTTAAGGCGATTCTTCTTTTGGCCGGTGATCCGTGTCATATTCTCACAGAAAACTAAGAAACTCAGCAGAGCGAAACTCCTTTCTGACAGTGACTTCTGTCAGGGTGTCAAATGTGTGCCTCTTAAACTGACTGACAGCAGATCCACTCCCTTGGCCACTAGCTTCTTGAGTATGACTCACACATACATGATTTTTCTCCACAACCTTCAACAGCACCGACACTCGCTGAAGGTTAGTCTGGTAAATCATCCTTAAATCAAGAGAAAATAACTACACTTTTGGCAGCTCAAGGACTAAGTCACAGGCTGATCTATTTTTTTTTTTGGCTGCTCAGCACAATGTGAACGTCCTTTGATAGATCCATGATGTATAAGGGTGCAAACTATTTTAAATTGAACCCCAAGACTGCGTTCTCTGAAGTTTAATGTATATTTGATTATATGTAAATCATTCCTAAGAAGATGTCATCTTAGGTTTAACATTTGATTACATGCAAATCATCCTTAAGATTGTTTCACCAAAATTTACATATATTTAATTGTATGTAAATAATTTCTAAGATTGCAATTAATAATTGCCTCTTATTAATGTTGTAAAACAACTTGATCTTTTTGACATTATAAGTAATATATACAATCAATCAGTCAAATGAACCAGAACATGAACTTTGATATATTTTTCTTTGCAAAAAGTTTACCGTGAGGCAATGCTATTTTAGTATCATTGATATACTACAATAGTTTTTATTTTAAATTCAAATGTTTTTTTCCGTTTTAATTGTAATTTTATTTAAAGTTATAGTAATTGTATTTGTGTGTTTTTGTCATTTTTATTTTCTTATTTTTATTATGTTTTGTCATATTTTATCATTTTTTTTAAATAAGTCTATATAGTTTAAGTTAACTATAGTAACCGTTCAGACAGGCTATCTAAACAAAACAACTAATGCCTATTTAAAAAAAACGTCAAATTGAGCACAGTTTGAGTAAAGAAAGCACAAACACAGAAACACAGAAAAACAACGATAAAAAAGACAAAAAGGGGAAAAAAGGTACAATAATATTAGGAACCTCTAAAGATGCTTTTTGGTCTCTACTGTCCATAATTGATCGCCATTAATTTTGCGTTGCCTGTCAAGACTCGTACTTGCGCGACGCTCCCTGGTTTTACCCGTCGGCAGCTGACTGGATGTTGGAGGACTGAGAGGAGGAGTAGCTGTTGCAGTAACAACATCCTGGATATTGGAGCCTGGCGGCGCACACGGCTACAGAAATAAAGGAGGAACGAAGACGTAAGGGAGGCGGCGGTGGTAATCTCAAACGCTTTAGTGTATAGAAGCAGGGACATGAACGTGAATTTGGCAACTTTCAGGCATTAATTGTGGATTTATGCTCTATGGCGCCGATTTATCCCGAGGCACCGACAAGGTGATGCAGCAGCGGCAGGACGGGATCAGTCCGCTACACGGCTGCCAGCTGAATGCCTTTACTGGAGGAGAAAGGCGCAGCACACGTCCAGCGCAGGCCGGCTTGATCTTTTATTAAAATAGGACAGTATGTAGAGAGGATCACCCAGCAGCTGGGAAACACCCGTGGTTAACTTTCATTATTGAATCGGCTCTCGATATCGCTCTCCAGAGACGCTGCCACGGCATCAAGCGGATCAGGCCTGTGCTGAGCCACCGTGCGCGCTTCGCGATATTTAACGTACCGTTGAAAGCGCACAAATGTGACGGGAACTTTTATCGTTAACACGCCTAACGAAAGCACCTAGTGCTGTAACATTGTGTTTACTCTCCGCTTGGCCAGTTTTCTTTATGTTTACATAGGTTGCGATACTGTTTTGTCTTATCAAACTGTTTTCCTTTATCGATAACGGATAATTGTATTGCTAGTTTAAGATAAACAATACGCCTAACCGGCGGTGAGGGTGGACTCGCCGTTTATCGTGAAGATAACGACTCGACCCAACCCGTCTTGCCCCAGAGAAGCTTTCGGATCAAAGCGAGATTCATGGATCAGAATGATAAAAAGACCCTCACGGTATGTGTGCACACATTTGTTTCATCAATGTAAATGTGAAAAATACTGCGTGATGTTAAAGATAAGACCGGCGTTTTGAGCATGAACCGCTTGATGAGGCGCTGTAATCAAGAGCAAACACTTGTACAGGTCTCACATTGTCTCACAGCTAAAAGTGTCTCATAAGCCCTATTCGCACGGGATTAGTATTATCTGGGGACCTCGTGTGATTTTGAAATTAACCCCCCACCTCTGAATTTCGTGTGGTGCATTCGCACGGGATAAGCGAAGCCTGCGATTTTACTCGAATTTACCGACTTATCTACCGGATACCCGGATGTCAAGGCTTTGAGAGTCCCGTTCTATGGTCCAGATGGATTTAAAAAAAAAATAATTATATATTTTCGTGCGCTGTGTCATTTATATTTCACCAGGTTAAAATAATACCTCAAGCTTTATGCTTGATTTATTTGTAACACATTAACCTCAAAACCTTTTCAGCCTTTTCTATCTACAAATTGTATGGTGTAGCGATATAACAGCACCCAAAATACTATCAAACACTCCAACGCAGCTCCATTCTTCGCGAAAGATGGATAAAAAAGCGCACAGGAAACAAAAACCTCGAAAAATGATATGCGACCCGCCAAATGCTGGCCGAATCACAGAGATGCCGATTCGCACGGGACTAATATTAGCACAGGACCTCGGTGTTCGGCGAAATATGGTAGGTCATTTGCGGGGGAATTTTTACATTACAAATTACAGACATGGCCGATTCGCACGGGATTAAGTTCACAGACAACCTCCGCAATTATTACAAATGACTGGCGGTCACCAGATAATACCAATCCCGCGCGAATAGGGCTATAGACAGTCTGTGCCGAACTGTATGTTTTTGGTGCATGTTTTGATATAATGGCATTTTATTTCACTCTAGTCTACCTGTGTTTTACCAGGGCGAATCCAAACAAAACCATCAAATAAACAAGATTTAAAATAGTTTTGGGCCATAACGAATACTTGAACGTCCTCATGATAAATATCCTCTTTAAATGTAGACCATTTGTAAGGCTAAATCAAAAGTCCATATATATTTTTTATGGGTGGTGTTATAGTATGAAAAAAGGCTAAGATTCCTCTTTCAATCCCTACAATTATTCACACAAGCTGGAGTGCTACACCATACTGCAGGTATCACAGCATTGCTAATATTCTGTAAAACAGAACGACTAGCAGGGTTATTTTTATATTTCAGTGTAGAGTAATTAATGTCAAGTAACTAATGTTTCATACAAAATTTGACCAATTAGTATGTTGATTTTCCACCTATGAAACAATAGTACCAAAATAAGTCAGAACACCAAGGCCTGTTATCAAGCAAAAAGACGTAACGCCGGACTGGATCAGTGTATTTTAGTGGAACGGAGCGACACAGATTTCCCCTCCTGGCTCAAAGCCTCTCCCTGTGTTCCCTGATAGCACACGTACATCATGGAGATGTCTATTTGACATCTACATTTGCATCTGCAAGACAGATTTTTTAGAGTGTTTGCTCATATGCAATACATCTATAGGACGTTTCCTATCAGATGTCAAATAAACATTCAGAAGATGTCTTGAAGATGTTTTTGATTTAGAATGTGTGTAAAACTGACATCTTAGAGACATTTATCAGATGTGTGTGTACACAGCAGATGCTTTCCAGATAAAGCGATCTTTATCGGACATCTTGCAGACGTACGTGTGCTATCTGGGTTCCCTACTATATATAATAGGTGAGAAGCAGTATGTGAACGGAGTAGTATGCCCAAATTCATAGTATTTATTAAACAGTAGAAGAAAAGGACCCATATGACCTACTACTTCCGGTGAGTTTCTAAACGGTGCATCTGATAAATACTTTACTATCCCATAAGGCCACAGGAGAGGAGTTGTGAATGGCAGTGAAGTGACACAACTGTCGCTGGTAGGTCATGTGACAGTGAAAATGTAGAGGATGTAATGTGTCTGTATTTCATTCATACTACCCATATTCATGCTATATAGAACATACTTTTTTAACAATTGCGATGTTACCTTCATTCAAACCAACTGTAGCACCTACTAGAGAGTATGCAATTTCAGACACAGCTACTGTAATCACTGAAATCCAGCTCTACGTTTTCTATTTTTGGCTTGCTAGTGAGAGAAACCCCAGATAGCACATGCACATCTGCAAGATGTCTGTTAAAGATCACTTCATCTGTAAAGCATCTGCTGTGTACAAACATCTGATAAACATCTCTAAGATGTCAGTTTTACATACATTCTAAATCTTAAACATCTTAAAGACATTTTCTAAACATCTATTTGACGTCTGACAGGAAATATCCTATAGACGTATTTCATATGAGCAAACGCTCTAAAAAATACGTCTTCCAGATGTAAACATGCACATCAAATAGATGTCTCCGAGATGTACGTGTGCTATAACGAACGCCATTCAGAGCAAAGTGGTGTCAAAGTAGTATAGTATTTGCATAGCACTCATACTATTTTTGCGGTATCTATTACTGCCTTCAAGTGCACTTGGGAACCTCCAAATCTGGCTTCCATTTTTGTGACATGCCACACATTCAAGTTGGAAACAAAACACCCAAATAACTACGTCTTATGATGTATAAATAAATACATCTTTCACTTATTCATGCATGGTATCACAACTGAATGTTAAGCAAACCCTGAAAGTTGAGTGCTTGACACATGGATACAGAATATATTCCAATGTCTCTCAACTTGGCGACACGTTTATCATCTGTACTTGTGTGCTTGGAACTCGTAATTAGGGTATTTCCAACTCCACTTGAAAAGGGTATATTATATTAGAGAAATATTAGACCAATTTACTTCTAATAACTGCTAAAAATGACTACTAGACCCAGAGAATCATATTGGAGGACTGGAGCTACCTGTTGTCTAATAAAATTTCTTTCTACTGTTTAACATAATTGCCATGGAAACTGAAGTTCATTTTTAATGGCAAGCTTCTGTTGAATGCCTCGTGATAGTTGGTGTCTGAAAATGTCTTTTTTGTTTTCAGAACAAGTGGAAACAGTTGTGATCTACAGGACGACTCCATTTCTAAGAGATAAGCAGACATTTGGCAGTAAAGCTCCGCAATGAGATAGTGTGGCTTACACAAAAAAAACGACCTTGACACTTATCCCACCATATTTCAGTTCATCATCAAAATATGACCACGCCAGCTCTATTGCCACTATCGGGACGTAGGATACCTACCCTCTCGCCAGGTGCCGCCTCATTCCCCCATCACAGAGCCACCTTACGGCTCTCAGAGAAGTTCATCCTCCTCCTCATCCTCAGTGCCTTCATCACCTTGTGCTTCGGAGCATTTTTCTTCCTTCCAGACAATTCCAAACACAAGCGCTTTGACTTTGGTTTGGAGGACGTGTTGATACCGCACATCGAGTCAGAGAAGGAGGCAAGGCACAGCAGCAGACAGGTCATACATGGTGTGGGAGGTCATGACGAGCATCGGCACAGGTGAGAGCTCAGAGATGGCTTCATCTCCTCAACAACTCCATGTGTTTTCATGCTTGTGTATATAGGTCAGGGCTTCTGAACCGTGGCCCTCGAGGTCCACTTTCCTGCAGAGTTTAGCTCCAATACTAACCAAACACACCTGAACAAGCTAATCAAGGTCTTCAGGATTACTAGAAAGTTATTGGCAGATGAGTTTGATCAAGGTCGGAGCTAATGGTGCATTCCATTTGTACTCGGAAGTCGGAAATTCCGAGTTCCCAGTAGGAACTTTTAACTGAAATGCCCCCTCAAGTTGGAATTTTTGTAACAATTCTGACTTTAGAATCCAGTATGGCTTCTCAGAGCATCAACAGAAGTGAAACAGTAGTAATATATTGCATTTCTGTTTGTCTGTGTCTAAATAAACTAAATGGTGCACACAGTTCTGCCCAACCTCTATCCGTGGACATGATACTTTGATGCTATCGGTACAAAATACCGTCTTTTAATGTGTTTTTATCGACTGGTATTGCTATTAATGGACACGTCCATCTTGGTTTTCAAACTTGTGTACTGGAACATTGTGAACTCGGTTGTGACATCATTTCCAGTTCTGACATCCGAGGCAAATGGAGCGTAGCAGAAACTCTGCAGGGAGGTGGACCTTGAGGGTTACAGTTGAGAACCCCTGGAATAGGTGGTATATTGTCGTTACTGTGATGATTTATTCAGAAAACAAACTGAACTGCTTTCCTGTACTGGTTTAAATGCTCATCATGTAATCAAAACAATTTAACTGCATAGTACTCATATAACTGATATGTTAAGATTTACGTACCAAACACATTAAAGTCAAATTGACTTGTTATTGGTAAACAGTTTAGCTTCAAGACTTCTACGTTTTCTAGTGGTAGAGGATATTCAATGAAAAAATTGTAGGTCTTGATTTTAATCCATCAGGAATTTATTGGACCATAAAAAGTGAGTTTTACAAACCAGAATGGAGTGAGACCTGAGTGTTAGGGATGTAACGATTAACCGCGAGCCGGTTGAAAATCGATTCAAATATGTGACGGTTCAAATCGGTTGAGATGTTAAACAAATCGCGATTCATTTAGGGGTAGTTTATGAATCCATGTCTGAGGGGAACTTGCTGTCTTTAGAAAAGTTTAGATGCAGGGCTCTACAGTGCGACCATTTCAGTTGCATTTGCGACTGAAAACTACTACGTGCGACTATGAAATTTTTTTTAGGAGCAGCAGTGCGACTGACCCGATCATCATCATACTTGTCGTGAGTTGAGTGAATCGTTACATCCCTACTGAATGTAGGTTGCAAAAATGATGCTTAAAATGATCACTGTTGGCTGTTGGTGAACATTATCCAATAGCCTGTGTGCCCGATGTGACATCGGGGGGATGAAGTCATTGAAAGATTGTGAAATGTTGTCTTTCTGTTAATACTATTAATCTTACCATGTAATTGGAAAGTTGCATCCCACAAGGTGTTTCATGGCTATTTAGCACACATGTAGGTGTGAGCTCTGTGAATGGGCTGTTCACAGATTGTCTGTGATGTTCTTAATTGCCCTATGACCTCTGAAAGCTTTTTCATGCGCCAATCCATGACAGCGAACAGTGATTCTGAGCCTGAAATCTTTGGGAATATATATTTTTTTATTAGGCATAAAATTCAAAAGCGTTCCAAGATCATTTTGGAAAAGCATATGTTAACCACCAGAGCATGTGAGCGAAGCGGAACGGTGTGACGCTCCGCTACGTTTTCCGCTCTATGGACGTGCGCTCCACTCAGTCGCTCTAACCGCCCAAGCAAGCGTTCCGTTAATATTCCGCTCACGCTCACTGTAAACCAATTCCCGCTCAGATCCCGCTCTGTTCTGTAAAGAACAACATGCTCTGTTAACCACAAGGCAGAGAGCCTCAGTACTCCTACACACAAACAGACACTCCCTTCACTGTTTCTAAGAAAATAGAGAGAAATCAGATCTAATTACTTTCTGTTATTCTGAGATTGATGTTTTTGTCTTCTTGTTTTGTCCCCTAGCAATACTTCCAAGATTTTTAAAGGCTTTTCTTTCGTACTTGAGACGGTTGTAGCCACCCAGTCAGTGGTTCAGCTCTCTGTTTCTTTCTTCAGCTGTGGACCACAATCCATTGAGAGTTTAAGTGAACTTCAGTGAAAAAGTTCACTTTGTTGTTACTAAGTGTTGTTTCTGCCTTCGCCATTGAGCTGTGGCTTGTTCTGCCTGTCTTAAGGATCAACAACCATTTATGCAGCCTTTTATATTTAGAAAAGATTTTAAACCAAGTGAGGTTTGAATGCAACTCCCAAAAAAAGAAAGTTTGTATTTTGGTAACTCTTAGATTGCTTGAAAATTGCATTACTTTTTCCCAGCGCAACATAAGATGAGTTATCAAAATCTCAGAGCATCGCTTTTCCATGTAAAAAAAATGCATTCATAGCTTTAGATCATGCAGTTCTTCCTCATTTTTAGAACATTATCTCTTTTGTGAAATATGAAACATTTGAATTAAAAGTAGCATGTATTTTTTTTTTGTCACCCAACCTTTCACTGCCTATGGAAATGTGTGGCAAATGACTTTGTCTCAGCTAGGCATTAATGTGACTGAGGATCATCTTGAAATTATGCCGGCTGGACTGAACACAGCCTCTTAAAGGGGACATAACACACAGTTTCCAATCTCATGTTAATCTTGAGTACCTATATATAGCATTCTTCATATTTCCGAAGAGTCTTTAGTTTTTTCAGAATTATAAAAGAAAGATACAGCTTTACGCTTCTCTTTGAGAACAGCCGATCTCCTGGAAGCATGCCATGGGCGGAGCTAAAGAGTCATGAGCCCTTACGCGCCGATTGCCAACAAAACACAGAAATTTGATGCGATTTTACTTACTGCAGTTCTGACTCATGACCGGGATCTTTTATCGCGGGGACCACTCCATCTTTCATTATCAAACGATGTGCAAATCCAGCGTTGAACTGGGCCTTGTTTATAAAACATTTGTCACTGAAATGACGGGAACAAACAAACACACTTGCGAAACTCCGTTGCAGGGCCATACTCAAAAAAAAAAAAAAACTTTCCGAAACTAATACGAATCCTGAAGGAGTGTCTTTAGCCCTATTCGCACGGGATTAGTATTACCTGGTGACCTCCAGTCATTTGTAATAATTGCGGAGGTTGTCTGTGATCTTAATCCCGTGCGAATCGGCCATGTCTGTAATTTGTAATGTAAAAATTCCCCCGCAAATGACCTACCATATTTCGCCGAACACCGAGGTCCTGTGATAATATTAGTCCCGTGCGAATCGGTATCTCTGTGATTCGGCCAGCATTTGGCAGGTCGCATATAATTTTTCGAGGTTTTTGTTTCGTGTGTGCCTTTTTATCCATCTTTCGCGAAGAATGGAGCTGCGTTGGAGTGTTTGATAGTATTCTGGGTGCTGTCATCATATCGCTACACCATACAATTTGCAGAAAGAGAAAGCTGAAAAGGTTTTGAGGTTAATGTGTTACAAATAAATCAAGCATAAAGCTTGAGATATTATTTTAACCTGGTGAAATGTAAATGACACAGCGCACGAAACTATATTAGTTTCTTTCTTTTTTTTAAGTCCATCTGGACCATAGAACGGGACTCTCAAAGCCTTGACATCCAGGTATCCGGGAGACAAGTCAGTAAATTCGAGTAAAATCACAGGCTTCTCTTATCCCGTGCGAATGCACCACACGAAATTCAGATGTGGGGGGGTAATTTCAAAATCACACAAGTTCCCCAGATAATACTAATCCCATGCGAATAGGGCTTTTGGCCTTTTTTGGCTTTTTGAAACTTTGTACATGTTTAGTATGAGAATCCAACTCTTTAACAGTGTAAATAAGTCAGAATGCATGAAATAGCATTAGACCCCCACTTTAAGCACATGAAAATGCGCCCTGTTACTAGGAGACACTTGACAAATGAAAACAACATGTGTTCTAAAATTGACTGAAAATATCAAATATGTTTGATCTCCTCCGACTGGATGGAATCATAATCTGAAGCCTGAAAACGTCCAGAGTCTGTGACCATCATACACTACGTGATTTTCTATGGAATCTGTCAACTCAACTCTGCAGACCGGCTCTGACTTTCGGCAACTAGTGTCAACTTCTCCAGACTGTAAATCGGTGGGAAATCGGGGCAAAAATCGTGTTTTTCAGTGTTCAGGATGATCACGTGATTCATCTTCAGCTATCATTGCTGTGCTGTTTAATGTGATGCTGTGTACATATAGCATATCTCATCATGACTGTATATATTTAGCTTTGTGTGTTCCTTGCATTGTAGATGGGCCTGGTATTATAGAGGTAGTTGCATTTATTTATCATGCTTAGCAAATCCTTGGATGGCATAGTCATATTCCATGCTCCATTTTCCCCATCAGGCAAGCGTAATGGTAATAAATGGGCATTCATGCTTGCATACAGGCAGGTTCATATTCCCTGTACTGTTATCATCATGAAACTTTCATTTAGCTTGACTTTCACACAGGCACATACAACAGCAGTTTTGACATGTCAGTCATGAGGTATTGTCTTAATAAGCCCTATTCGCATGGGATTAGTATTATCTGGGGACCTTGTGTGATTTTGAAATTACCCCCCCACATCTGAATTTCGTGTGGTGCATTCGCACGGGATAAGCGAAGCCTGCGATTTTACTCGAATTTACTGACTTGTCTCCCGGATACCCGGATGTCAAGGCTTTGAGAGTCCCGTTCTATGGTCCAGATGGATTTAAAAAAAAGAAACTAATATAGTTTCGTGCGCTGTGTCATTTACATTTCACCAGGTTAAAATAATATCTCAAGCTTTATGCTTGATTTATTTGTAACACATTAACCTCAAAACCTTTTCAGCTTTCTCTTTCTGCAAATTGTATGGTGTAGCGATATGATGACAGCACCCAGAATACTATCAAACACTCCAACACAG